TCTGCTTGATAGAAGAACAGTCTATAAAAACGAGGACTGGCTGTCAGTGGCATTATGCAAGTAAGTGAAAACGGACATTGCTCTGCTCTAATGAGGACTTGTGCTGGAAAGGCCATCAATTGCTCTGTTAGCAAAACAAGTTACTGAATCATTGTAGGGTGGTTTCACGCATGGAATTACGTAAGCCCCAAGGAGCATATACTAGAGATCTAGTGTTTTGTGAAGTACTGTATGGTCAGTCACTAACTGAAAAAGTTGATAAATTCTGCGTCTTTCGAACCCCACGAAGATGTTTTTTTTTAAAAGGTCAGAAGTCGAATTTAAGTTTTTTTTTTAAACCAACAGTGGATATTAACGCTAGATGAGTACTTTTAAAGCCGTATGCTTCTAGAATTTCAGTGTGACTTGAAAATCTTGATTTCAAATAGGCTTTTCCGGTTTTAATGCCCACGTAGAACGTGGAGTCTTAAAACGTTAGAATGCTAGGTTGTGATTAAGCCTTCTGACCGTTATAACGCTTTGAATATTAGTTCACATCTAGTAAAAAAAAAATGCGAATAACCGCGATTCAGACGTGTGCAGAGCAAATACGCTCCGTGTGGTCTCTCCGACAAGCCTGCCGTTAGCGAGCGCGGTGAATGAGCTTAGCCATGGGTCTGTTTGATAAACTGACCGTGTGGCTGGGGCTGAAGAAGAGAGAGGTAAACGTCTTGTGCGTCGGTCTGGACAACAGCGGGAAGAGCACGATACTCAATCAGCTGAAGCCTGAAAACGTGAGTCCCACTAGATGACAGGAGACCCTCATATCAGTGAGTCTGGTAGATATGGGAACAGTTGGGAATGATGAAGCACGCAATTCCCTTACCTGAGAGACCTCTCGCTTTAACAGCTGAAGGGTACTAGGGCTTTTGCCCTCAGACCTCTCAATCATTTACATGAAGCAGATCACCTGTTTAATTGATTTCCGGTTGCACCAGGCATTTAGAAATGGAAATAATGGTTAACTGGATGTGTTACGGATTCGGCCAATGAAACCGAGACCAAGTAATGAACCCACTTGCAGGAGCTGACAAAATTACCCTGAAGGAGATCTATACTGTGAACCAAAAAGCAGGGAGTGAGTTACCAAAGCCAAGCCGTGATCCAAAACCATAGACGAAGGAGTGAGGCGAGAGTCCAGGGGAAGCCAGTGATCCTAAACAGGGAGTGAGTTACCAAAGCCAAGCCGTGATCCAAAAACCGTTGTGGAAGGAGAAAACCAAAGTCAGTAACCAACAAAGTAACAACAAAGCTCAAACTGAAAACCAATACTGAGCGAGGAGGTAGGGAGACAAGTGCTTAAGTACAAGATGACGGAGGTGTGGTGGTGAATAGGGCGTCTAATTAAACTAGGAATACGCCTTCTTCCGGCTCCTCTGTTGCAATGGGGATCGCCACAGGATGTTCAAAACCAAGTGAACCATGATCCACCAAAACCTCAAAAAACACATCGCAGAGAATCTTAAACCAAAGATTCCTTTTTGCAGTGCAGATAGGAGTGGCTTGAGCGACAGTAACTCAGTTTGAGGTACCCTATCGTCTAGAGTTCGCTTTGTTGCTGATAGGCTAAGCTTTCGAAACTCAGCCCCAAAGCCATGTGACTGATTTCCCGCCCTGTTTCGTTGGTTAAACGCAATGAGCACGAGCACCACCATGGTATTTGGGATGTGTAGGTTTTAATTCAGTTTGAATTATAACTGTACGTACTGTCTTCGTATTTGGCCAGGGCTTTAAAGAGAAGGCGCGCCAAAAAAACATTCGGTGCCGTCGTCTCTGCTTTAAAGGTACCCCCGTCCTGGAAGAATTTGACCAGCGTACTTGTCGGTGTTTCTGTAGAGGAGAGACAAACACTAAACAAGTTCTTGTTTCACTTCTACTTTGCAACAAGAATGAGTACAAAATTCATAGAATTCTTCCAAGTGTAGACCCCCCATTTTGTTGAAAGAAAAAAAAAATGTACCTTACTTTTTTTTTAAGAGCTCTAGTGACCAAAAGAAGCCCTTGTTTTTAGCTGCATCACTACCAGGCTGGCCTCTTATTCAAACCACTTCAATACAGCCACACTGGTGGTGGTGCTGTGGCTCTGTGGCTAAGGGTCACTGGCTGTGTCTGGAAGGTTGCTGGTTTATATCCCGCAGCCTGCAGAGGAATCCTACTCTGTTGGGCCCCTGAGCAAGGCCCTTAACCCCAACTGCTCCAGGGTGAGGTATATATGGCCAAACCTGCTCTCTGACCCC